TGGATTTCAGATTTTTTTTGTTTCATGGACTGTCTTGCATTGGATTAATTTGAACAGAGTGAAATAGTCAAAGGTCATAAAAGATCCAAGGCATTTTGACATGCTTCTCTGGTTATTTCCATTTTATTTAGCTATTTTTTGTATAGTTTTTATATTTTGCATTTATGCTTAAAAATTGGTTTGGGTATACAAAGCTGTTCATCGTGGATTAATTTAATGACTTTCAACTTTATCTTCAGCTATGTTATCTTTTTGTTTCATCTGAATTTGTTGGCAAGACTCTAATATGTTTTAGTACTTCCCTTGTGCCATTGCATGAGATCTTGTGCCGTTGAAGTTCTCTGTCCGGTATAGACTCTGCTTCTTATTTCTTAACAACTCTGCTAATGTAGTTCAGTACTTTTGTAGTTGAGAAGAGCAGTACTTTAAATTACCATTGCTAACATTATTAAGTATTGTTCAAACTATTGCACAAATAATGAAATACTCTAATTTTGGGGGTTTTGGTCACAATCCTTTAAATATAATGTAGATTTATAGTTGGAAAGTGCTTGTTAAAGAATTATTTATGTCTAAGCTGCTGCAAGGAGCTGTCATGTTTTTGTTTTCACAAATATATAACCCCTTTTTATCTTTCTAATTATAACATTTGTAAGTCAAATGATAGTTTGAAAGAACCTCAGAGAAACAGGAGAGTTTAAGCAAGAGAAGAAAATGATGGAGTTTGTCTCTATCAAACAAGTTGTGCTCAGTAAACAAATATTATTGCAGTTTCATTTCAGTTTCTTCTAGCTTGTGACATCTTCTGTCCATGTTTTTGCTACCTTTCCTCTACCATGCCTCTTCTGTTTTGGTGTGTTAATTAGCTACACATTAGCCATAGCATACTCAGGAACAAATTGCCACCTAATAACAATCATACTGGGGAGAGCTGGGAAAGTAAGGAGTTCCAATTCTTGCTACTTAAAGATCAGGGGAAGGAGGAAGACCATCTGCCATGCTGAACAGCGAATGATGTGTCCTGCTAGAGAGTAGAAACTGCAGCTATGGAAACCTGATTTTCTAAGAGCCCATTTTGAACAGCAAAATGAATGGACGTGTTGGCCCTAGAATTTGAGGAGCACTAAATCTGTGACATTATTTGTTGTTGTTAAACTAAAAAAAAAAATAATCCATCAGCAGAGCAAGTTTGCTTCTCAGCCACCTATATAACAAATTCATTTGTTTCTTCCAGTTTTTATCTAGCTATCTCTGAGTAGCTGTTTTTCTCCTTAAAGTAGTATTTCTCATAACCTGAATCACACCGCTCTCCTACTATGCATTTGAAAGCTGCATGAGAGGAAGTTAGCAATGATGCTGAAGATTGCCTTCCTTGCTCCACACTGTATGTTCTGTAGTTAAAAACTGAAGTCTTCTTGGATTGAGGTGCATTTTACTTAACCTGTAAACTTTGCCTGAATGTGGCTTTAATTTACAAAAATTCGCTCCCTGTAGTAAGGCTTGCAAATGCAAGTAGCATTATAGACAGATTGCAAGGTAAACAGAAAAGTTGGGGAATCAGTATTATAATTAAGTTTGAAAGTCCTTAACCAGTTTCTTTCCTTAACATAATTCTTCTGATAGTTTTGTACAATGCTTCTGCTTATAGAACAGGGAGTTCACTTCTTTCTTTATTTTCTGATGGAAGATTATAGAAAGGCTGAATAAGGTGCTGAAGGCATGGAAGAGAAAAAGGTTTTCTTAGGAAAGAATGTATCTATTAACAGAAATGAGCTTCAAAATACCACTAAACAATGCAGCAGTGCATGGTATCACATTATCTTTTAAATCAGAATTTCATATTGAATATTTAATTGGCCTAATAGTAACAAAGTGTCCTTTCTGCTATTGCTGCTGTTACTATTACTGGTTTTCTCTAAAACTCACTTTTAATACTGTTTAATTTCAAAGTATGTTTAAATTTTTGCATCTTAAGGAGGGGGTTACATTCTATTCAAGGCGATTCTGGATTTTAATATGTTGATATGTGTGCATTAAATCCATTGTTTAGTTTGGTGGAACTAAGAAGAGATCTAATAGGATGTAGCCATTAAAACAGGTCTAAGCTGGTGTAACAGGTTGTTGTCAAAGATGGTGAGATTTAAAAAAACACCTTCAATAGATTATTTGTTTCTAACTGAAAAACAGCTTTGAGTTGCAATATGATTTCAGGGAGAACTGTAGGTCTCATTTCAGTAGCGTAATGTTTCAGACCTCAGGTTAGTTTAGGGAAGCTGCTTGTATTTTCGGAGGGGCATAGCCTAGCAAATTTGTGCGGCAAATTTGTGTGAGGCAAGGGCTACCTAGTGTTCTCCTTTACACATATTCTTTTGTAAAAAAAAAACAGGCATGCATGTTACCAAGAGTAATGTAATCTTCAGAACTGAGCTGTGTAGCACCTGGTGATATTACAGATGTCCTTTGAGGATATTAAATTTGATCGTAATGTCTGGGTCTATAGCTACTGGGCCTGTAGTTTCCATGTTATTTCCTTGTAGTCACTTAATCATATTTCAATGAGAAGATGCCAGGCCAGCTGAGGTGAGAGAGGAACACATAACATAGTTCAGACTAATTTAACGCTTAGGATTTTTTCCTAGATAAGACTGTGAAATGCCCATAATACAGACTGTTTTATTTTGTGTATTAAAAAACAATTCCCTTTCTTCTGATTGCTCCTTTCCTGTTTTCTAAACGAAATGCATTGACAAATACTTTGATGTGATGCATCACCTTCCTTAAATCAATAATAAGCATAGATCTGGTCTCCTTGGGATATCCACCCTCACTTTAGCTAGGTTTTCCCCAGTTACCTATTGTTTCTTCTTCCCAGTTTAATAGCTGTATGTTGCCAGTGGAGCGATATATGGACTGTGCCATCCATTTCCTTGCCTATTAACTCCCTTGAAATTCTGCTCATCAGTTGAGTTCTCCTGTAAGTAAAAACTGACTCAGCATACATTAGCCAAGACTGCTGAGTATTCATTTATGGAAATGTTCACAAGTTCACTAGCTCATATTTATGGAGCTCACCACAGTAGATTACTTGAGGGACAGTTTGGTGCTATGGCTAAGGTGATGTACTGGCAAACTGCTACCATAATGGGTGTTCCTACTGCTTGGGTGAAGAGTGAGTAGGTTCAAGACTGCTCCTGTGATGAACAAATGTTCTTTGATGGTTGTTATTTCTGTATGCAGAGCCACTCTTGGTTGCATCTGCCAGCAACACACCCTGTGTCTGCACGATCACTGAGTTGTGCACTAGAAGAGCTGCAAGCATGTGCAGCTGGAGACGAGGAAGACTAGAAGTGAGGCCTCTCTTTTTGGCAGTACTCAGCCTCGTCTATATTTCAAACTCCAAACTCAGACAATGAATTAAAACAAGAATATAAGAAAAAAACAGTATGGCATAATTTTCTCAGAAACTCTTACAGATCTATGAAACAAGCCAGTCTTCAGCGGTTCTGGCAAAAGGCTTTGCACCTTTCCTACCCCTTCCTATACCTGCATGGGATTCCAAATCATCCTACAAAACTATTGACCACTGGTGAACAGAGTTAAGAAGCTGATTGGGCTCTGATGGAAGATTGTTTACTGTTAGTCTTTCTCTTTAGGATCTCTCCTCTGTCTTCAAGGATTATGTGTGCATATTAAGAATTTTGCTGGCATGAAGAGTGATACTACTCAAAGTAAATAGAAAGTCTGAAACTATTTAAAGAATATTATAAAGAGATGCAATACTTTAACAAAATTTAAACCAGAATCACTGCAATAAATGCCTACTTGCTGGTAGGATAGCATATTTTGTGTAAATGCTGCTTGCTTTTTAGAGTTAGGATTTTATGATTACTTATGATAAGTTATTGGCATCATTTTATATCTGACTCCCTGCATAATTGTATATTGAAAAAATACGTAAAACTGAAATGTAACATGACAGTTTCCTCTTAATTATTGCTGCCTGAGGCTAAGTTTGACTATTTTTAAATGATGAAAAGTGCTGCTCTATTTATGCTTTGAAAGTTGAAAACTGAAATTCCTGCATTTTTCAACGAAGAGAAGCCTTGGAGCAGGTGACCTCCAGCTTTGTGTGCTGCTGAATTTGCTGCTGAGCTTTAGGTCTTTCCCCGATGCTTATACATTTCCTAGTGACTGCAGAATTGTCCACTTCAATTGTGCTAGCAGAGTTCCTTCTGGATAAAAAGCCAGTTTAGTGCTCAAAAGAATAAATCAACTTCTATCATAATGTATCAAAAGAATGAAAATTTATCCAATCTGTAGCAAGAAAATACAATGTGATGCAAAGGAAATAACAAGCTCAATATACCTTGCCGTAGTAGTACAATTACACTATTGCATGTTGAATCAAAAATAAATTTATACAGTACCTGTATGTTAGCTGAGTAAACAGAACCTTTTTTTTTTTTTCCTTCTTGCAAGTTTTCTTGATGTCACAGCAGTTTCACAGATAAATACAAGAAGATGTTCAGCCTTTTTTATTTTTAAAATGTTTTCTTGGTAAATAAAGCAGCAAGAACTAATTACATTGTGATAGTGTTATGTTGCTGGTTGTACTGACTGGGTAAAAAGGCAACATACCTGCTTGAATGAGTCTTCTGACTAAATATTCAACAACAAGTTAACTTTTAAGAGAAAGAGGGCAATAGGTTCCAGTATTAAAAAGTAAATTTTGTTTGAAATGGGTGTTTTAGTGAACATCTTGTGACCTTATGGAACTCTATTGATTGAGAGCCCTGGAGACAGAGGGATGATGTATGGGAGAAACATTATGACTCCAACTGTGAAGTGTTAGCAATGCCATCCTTTTTGTGTCAGATTTTTCAAGGTAAAAGATTTGTATCAGAAAATACCGAGAGAAGATTGTGCTTCTGCAGGCTTGTTATTTGTTGTATTAAGTTTACCATGATCAGGTTTGACAGGCTTCTCTCTATTTTTTCCAGCAGACAATATTATTGTTGAAGATTAGTCAGATGCCTTCCGTCTATTCCCTGCCTCACATGCTATGTCATGCAAGCTTTGAAATACTTAGCACATAATTTAAATGAATGACTAATTTGGCAAGCATAATGGAAGGCACGCATACTATCCTTCAATTGCACAAACCCATTATGGAGCTTTGTTACATCAGCTTCTATCTTCCAGAGGGAAAAGTCAGAGGATTTACTTACAAGGGCTGTGTAACTCTGGATAGAACCAGTAAACGTTTCTGTAGCTGCTACCAAGTAAGGGAGAGGTTAGAGATGGAGCTGAAAGAACAGACATATGAAAACTTTGGAGATATTATTTTCAAGCAAACTACCACAAAAGACATTCTCATTGAACTGTACAAACTAACTGCTGAAAAGGAAAGACTGTTATCCAGTCTTTTGAGATCACACCATATCCTGGACCTTAACACAGGACATCAGGAGGGAAAGCGGCAGGATGTTCCCGGAGTCCTGAAACGTAAAGGTGATGATTACCCCAGTTTTACACATCAGCAGGATTTCTTTCTGGATTCCACAAACAGAGACAATTTGAATCATAAAAAAATGAGGAAATATAGAAGGAAAGAGAACTTTGAGGAGTTCAGACACCAGAAAGGGGGGAAAAAGATATATGAACAACATTTTTCCTTACTGAGCGCACAAGACATGCAAATGGAAAATAAGAAGATGCTCCCCACAAGATTTCCTACCAGGAGTTTCACCAGTTCCTTTTCTGCTTCCAGCTGGCTAACAGTAAAAGGTAAGGATGATTTACCAGTAGACAATAGTATACAACCAGAAAGGTGGAAAGAAGAAGGGTACTTTCTTGAGAGCAACAAAGCTGTGAAACTGGATGCTGGTTTACCACATTCAAGCTCAAAAGACAACAGTGACATGGTTGCAGCTGAACTAGTGGACAATGGAGGATGCATTCCTGAAGTACAACAGAGTATCACTTTGATAAAGTCATCCGAGGACATTCTATCTAACAAATCTGAGACATTAAGTAAATCTGCAGCTGCTGAAAGCTTGAAAAGTAGCAAGTATACTGAGCCGGTATGCAAGAAGAAGCCAGGAATCACAGTTGTTGCTGAAGTACAGGATTCAGAAGCTTGTATTAGAAAAGTTGCCAAACCCCCTGCAGAGTCTTTACCTGATTTTCACAGAGATAAAGAAACCATTTCTCCTGTTCTCACAACGGTACATAATGAGTTTATATCAAGAACTGACGTATACTCTGTAGATGAAGCTGCTGGAGACTCTAAAAACACTGTGCTGCAGGAAAAGGAGCAAGACGGCTCTGATTTGCAGTACAAAGCAGAGAGAGTGCACATTACTGATGAGTCATGCAACCTTGTGGGAGCAGTCAATAAAGCTCTTCTGAAAGTTATACAGAGCGACAGTTTAGATGAAGCTGCAGAATGGAAGAGACTGCAACAAATTACAAGAGTAGACAGAAACCTGCCAGGCTCAATATATGAGAAAAGAACCACGGTATCCCGGGGAAGCAGCAAGCATTTATTTTTGAACCTGCCTGTAAATGAAAGTCTGGATATTTCTCAGACAAATAATAACCTTAAACGGGAAGAGAAAAGGCTGCATTCACCCTCGTTAGTAGCAGTGAGTAATGTTTTTAGTAATTCATATCCGCTATCTAATACACACAAACAAATGTCACCCATTCCTTCTCCGTTATCTTCGAGACTGCCTAGCCCGCAGCTGCATCATCGGATTCTCCCGTTACCAACACTAAACGCTGAGGACGAATCTGTGTTCAATGACTATGGCAGTGGGAGACACGGTGCTATAAACCTCTCTTTCAGTGATTTGGAGCCACAGTTTTATCTGAAGTTCTCTGAACCTGGAGAATTGGGATTTGCCACCAGACAACCAGGCCTACATCAGAATGCAACTGCAGGGCACTTTGAAAAGCGCGCTGTACAAGAAAAATTGACTCCTCGGACACAGCAGAATTTCTGTCCAGGTCAGTCCTATTTCATATATTTTTAAACTAACAGAATCGATCAACCATGAAAGTACTGGAGTGCTTTTTAGAACTAGCCTTTAATAATAAATAGTATGTTTGCAATGAAAGTATTTTCACTACTTAAGGACTGAGTGAAAAGTTGTTGAATTTTTTAAACAAAAGTTATAGCTAAATAAAATCTTATAGCTTTATAAGATTTCCCTTCAGATCCATTTGTTTATGTCAGCTTAGACTCAGTCCTGTTGTTCCTGAATGAGCCCTTAACCAAAGTCAATTAAATATTTTCTATCTAAAATGAAAAAAAGTTTACATTCTTATTTTTCTGCTTTTCCTGTGCTGTGTCTGTCAGACTGTTATGATAACATTGATAAGCAAAACAAACTAAAAAGAACATTTTGGATAAACTGACAGAATATTGTCTGGGCAAGCTAATTTACATTGCCCTAAGTATAGGACTGGTGCTTTGACCATTTAGCTACAAAGCATCGATGTAAATTCTGTAACAAAGGGCTTGTTTTTAAAAGAATTGCATACAGAAGTCATGTTACTAATGTATTTGAGTACAGTGAATGTGTTTATAAATAATACTATGAATATAAAAATGTGTAAGTATATGGCATACTGTATAACTATCTTTGTTAGCTAGAACATTAACATCTAGACCCTTCATTTTTTCTCTCAGAAATGAAAAGGCTGGAGGACTTCATTCCACAGTGGACTGTCTAGGTGTGGCTTTAATTGGTTCCTATGTGTTATAGGGAGGACTGACAGTGCAAAGTGACATGATTGCACTATAAAACTAGAAAAAAAATATGGAAAAAAAACCCACTGATATCTGTAATTCTTAGTATTTACTTAGACTCAAGCCTCCTTTGTGATACATCTTTCCCACTCCCAACCCTGATTCCCTTTAGAGTGCATTTGGGTCTCTTGCCATACCTTTGACTGATTCAGCTCACTAAAATGGGACAATTTTTTTTATTTTTTTGTGTGTGGGGGGATGGTGGTGGTGGGTGAGGTGGGGTGGCAAGTGAAGTGTAGTCTTCCATTTTAGCTACCTAAATAGCTTCACAGGGTGGCCCAATGAGTGACTGCCAGAGCTGATGCAAGACAAGTTACAAGATTCTGCAGTTTAAACCAGGGAGGAAGACATAGGCATGAGAAAAAGGGGGTTCCAAAAGGGGAGCTGTGTGGGGATGTGAAACCATTGCCTTAGCCAAAGGGTGTTGAATACCGCTTATGAGGCTTGCATTTATGCTTTCTGCTTCTAGAAGTTGCTTTAGTTCCACTCCACTCTAAATTTGATTTAGTCTGTTGTTTGATGAGTTGACAAAGCTGATACAAACACTCACTGGCAAAAAAAAAAAAAAAAAAAAAAAAAAAAAAAAGGTACGGTGCTCATCTTTCATATCTTTCATTCTTTTCTTGGTTCCTGTTGTGCTGTGTTGTCCTACCGCTCTCATTACTTCTTGTACTCATCGTACCTTTTGGTGAGCTGGTTTAGCTCATGAAACCAGCAGAAAATTTCACCCCTTTATGACTCAAGTAACACAATCAACCTTTTTCTTCCCACTTTGCAATAGTATTTTTTAAATTAGTTTATCATTTAGGATCATTGGATGTGGAACTGCACCTATTGTACTTCACTCTTGTACTTGCACTGGTTTTGCCTGGGATAGTTATTTTTCTTCATAGTACCTTGTATGATGCTGTGTTTTGGATTTGTGGTGAAAGCAGTGTTGATAACATGCTAATGTTCTATATTGTGCTGAGCAGTGTTTGCACAGCATCAATCCCTTCTGTATTTCTCACTCTGCCCCTCCCTGAGAACAGACCGGGGGTTGTGCAATGGGTTGGGAAGGGACACAGCCGGGCAGATGACCCAAACCAACTAAAGAGAGATTCCCTCACATATAATGTCCTGCTCAGCACTGAAAGGGGGAAGAGGGGCGCTTAGGGGGGTTAGCCATCTTTTGTGTGGGAACTGGCAGGGCATCGCTCTACCCACAGGAGGCGGTGAGTGATTGCTTTTTGTATCATTTGTTTTGTTTTCTTCCCTCTTCTTCCACTTAACCTTCACTTATGAAACAAATTTTCTCATTTTTATTTTTCCTTTTCCCTCTATCGCACTTGGGGTGGGGGGAAAGTGGGTAAACAACTGTATGGTGGTTATATGCCCACTGGTGTTAACCCAGGACAGCTTTATAAGAAACAGAACAAAACATATACACATAAATATCCTCTGTTGGCTGAAAATCCTGGCTATTAACCAGAAACATCTTTGTGGAGTGAACAAAGTGCAGACAAAATACAGATAGAAAATATCACTGCAACTTTCTGAAAGATGTAATACTATTCTGGGATTATTGTTTTGTTGTTTGGTTTGGTTTTTGGTTGTTGGTTTTGGTTTTTTTTTTTTTTTTTCATTTCATGTATGATTGCATGCCAGCATTATTGTGTGTCAGAAAAATCTGTAACTTGAAGGAAATTTTTCCTATTTTGCTGGCATATATAGCACTGTAGGCATGTCTGGATTTGGGATAATATGGCTTTCCATTTTGTTCTGAACTAGGGGTGGAATCATTCTTATTGAGAGAGCACTGGTAATACAACTCTTCTGTAAACTGATATAAGTAATAACTACCTGACTATAGTGCAGTGGGGCAAATAATGTACCTCCAAGTTTAGGCAACATAAGTAATGTTAAGATATACAGCAGTACTTTTGCAGTCCTGGATTGATCCTTATCAGATTTCTCCCATGTGTGAAGAGCAAAATTCAAGACTGTTGTTCAGATGTCTTTAATGGGGTGCTATTGTGAAATGATTTCTTTCAAATCTAGTCTTGTTATTAAATTGTGCAAGTATCTACAGTGAATCTAAGAATTATGCTGAATTTTGGTTGACTCTATCTGTGAGGTTGGTTGAAGAATTTATTACATGTCAAAAATGCTGGTCTTATGAATGGATGTTCAAAGTTATATTATTGGCAGTTTGCTCTACATACTACAAAACATTTGGAGCCTTCTATTACCTGTGTAACTGTGTATTTGTATACTTAAAATTTCATGGATGGGTAAAAATAGTTGAATTTATTAAAATAATTAATTGGATTCATCATACAGCTCTATACATTTTAATTGTATTTAATTGTATACAATTTAATTGTATAAATCTCATTGATTTAAATCATTATTCTTCACTCTCTTTCTGGATAATTGGAGAACATTCCTGCAGTGAAAAGTGAAACATTTAGCTGAGACAGAGTGCCTTTATTTCTGTACCTCCACTTTTCTGCAAGTTCAGTGTCTTTACAGCAAATATTTATGGCACAAATCTCATGGTTTCATTACACAATGTTCTATCACTAATTCACTTGAAAGTCCAGTGTTCAGGATCTTCCTGTTGAAGTGCAACTGCTGGCCATAAGAACAGGCCACAGCTTTTATCTTAGAAAGTTAATAGTTAACTAGGAGGAATTTATAGTTCAACAATAATTATTTAGCCATTTTCTCTGTAAGTGGGACTGGGAATTAACATTCTTGTATTTGCAGGTAATAGTACTGTTTGAATTATCAAAACTCTAAGTAAAAGCTTTAGAATAAATAAAAGCTTTTAAGAAATAAAATGTTCATCTTCAAGCAGCAAAACCAAAAGTACAAACACTAAAATTTCTCATAAAAAGACATTTATTAAATCATCAGAAACATACTTCCTGCATTTCTGTAGGGAGTTCTTTCTACTCTTAACATAAAAAATACATTATGCTTTTATAGTCCTGGAGAAGCAAGCTTGCTTTTGAAACAATCCTCAATATATCTGAATATCTGTCTCAGGGAAAGATTTTCTGAGACCTTTTAGTTCCTGACTGTGCTTCTCTCTCAAGTTGTTCACAGTGGTAGAAAAAAATAGAATATTTTTCAGAGTTCTTTTATTTAAGTACTATGGAATGACACCACTATGCTGTTTTACTAAGTGTTATCTGACTGAAAGAGAAGGAAGATTAGTGGTATTTTTAGAAGGTATTGAAGTGAATTTGTTTCAGAGCCGGAAACTTAAAAATAAAAATCACTGGTTATGACATAGCCTCTGACTTAGGACAAGTCAGTCAAGACATCCCATTATTCCAGGACAGTGAATGGTGACTGTGCTTTGAGTCAGGATGAGACTGGAATGGGTCATTCATCACACTTTGTTTTATATATTAGTGCTGCTGTGGAAAAAGAATAAAAAACTGGTAAGGGGGAATGGTGAAAACAAGAAAGAGAACAAATGAGAAGAATGGTGCTACCCTACCCCCAGCCAATGAAAATCACTCCTTTTTTGATATCTAGCAGTTGTGAAAGACAAATATATCCAGCAAAGACAGAAATCCAAAGGTAGTAGGACTGTAGAGAAACTGAAACTGATGTGGGATAGAACTAAATGATTAAGGCTGTACCAGGTAAAATGGCTGAGCCTATGGCACCAAAAGGGCCAGCTCCATTCTCTCCTTATTATCTTCCTTCTCCCAGCAAAGGCCTCCTCTCCCACTATCCCTCCCCTTCTTTGGAACAACTTTTGTGGTTTTCTTGCTTTTTGGTAGTTTGAATTAGATCACTAAGCAAGTTGAAAACTGAGCCAGCAAGGCAAGAGGTGAGTAGCATTAGCTGGTTTAGTGAGCTGAATGGTTCACTAGTGATCTGATGAAAACCAAAGCTAGGGTGAGGGAGGACAATGGAAGTGTGCTGCCAAGAGGCCGAAAGGACAAGTGAGCAAGACCACCTGTGCTGGTAGCAGGGAACATTAGATCTCCAGAACCTCAGTTGCATCCCCAAACTGCAGGCCAGGAGGCTGGCTGGGACTGGCTAAAACAGTTGTTGGGAGCAGGAGATAAGAGGTGAATGCAGTTGAATGAGGATGCAAAGAGACTGTGATCTTTTAAGTGGGTGGTATTAATAGTGGAACCAACAAGAAAGGGTAGGCAGTTGAAAGAGGGGAACTCCGGTGGGCTGAGTAGGGAGTGTGGCTTCAGCTAGGGTGGAGTATCACAAGTGCAGCATGGCAGATTAGAGATGAGGTAATTAGTTTTTTGTGGGGAAATGTGCAAAAGAATCTGTAACCATTAGAATGTACATCATGGGTGTAAACACAGCAGCCTTGCTGATGATCCATGAAGTCACTGTATAATACCGTATGGAATTTTGGAGATGCAGGGAATAGAAGGAGGAAGAGAATGAAACATGAGGTAAAGGGGTTTGGTTTTAAAGTCTTAGAAGTTATAATGCTTATTGTGATGTAGGGAAGGCATTTTAACCACTGGAAGAAGTTGATGAATACAATTCTTCAGATTATTTCTCAAATAATTTTGTTTAATTGACTAGTAAGATATATACCCAAGAGTTCCTTGTAATATATTCTGGATGTAATTGTAGCTGCACCTATCCCTGCTGATTATTAAATCGAGAATGTTGTGTTTGCTTGTTACTGTCAATGCAAATTTTGTGCCAGCAGTTCACTTTCCATTAGAAAGAATTGAAAACAAGCATTCTGGCAATTTTGTGTGGTTGTCAGAAATTATGCACTGCCATTTGAAAAGATGCCAGCTACTAATAGCTATCTCTGGGAGATCCATTTTACAGTCTTAAAATATAATAAACGTACTTCGACCTACAAAGGACTGTTTAGTATAATATGGATAAATACTTGATAAAGTATTATTCTTAATTGGTCTAAGACTGCGAATCCTCATATTTTAGTCCTCAAAGTTTTCTAGGGGAATGAAAAGCACGAAATGATATTTTTATTTCAGTACTTCACTTGCTGGTGGCTGGAGGAACAGTTTTTGTAACTGTGCTCTGAGAGCAGTCCTACTCCTTAGGGCTTTTAACTGCCAGTTAAAACTGAGTTCTTGCAGTTTTCCTGAGTTAATTTGCAATTGCAAATTAAACATATCTTACTTCCATGCAAACAAGAATACTATGATTCTACAAATAAAGCAGTTACATAGTCTTAGTTCTACGTCTGTTTAAATTTCCAGCATTAAAGCAGCAGATTGAAGTATCCACGTGAGTAAGCCTTAGTTTTGAATTTGTTTGGGTATATTATCATTAACCACAAAAAACTAACTAATCTATCACAGTGCCAGTGCTAGAAGACTTGTAATTGAAAATGGGATACAGGCAATGTTTTTTCCTAGATATTTAATGAAGGTAGCAAAAATAATATAAAGTTAATATTTGAATTTTATTTTGTCTTTTCCTAACTTAACAAACTCTTTAAGCTGAAAATGGACAAATGAAGTCAGTTACGTGAAATTTAATAACAAGGCTTTATGATGTCTTTCTGAACCATGGTTTTGGAAAAT